TAAGCGATCTTGGCCAACGTTTGCTCGGCAATCCATGTTGATCCTGAGGCCAGAAGATCATCACCATACGTACCAAGGAATCCCTGGGACGAGTCATCCAGCATGATGCGCCAGAGGTTGCTTTAGTCTGTTGTAGCCACAGCCGTCCTTGTGGGGTTGGATGTTCCATGATGGATCTCAGTTGCTGATCCCGATAATCAGTCCAATCCCCAGGCGACTCTGCCAATCCGTAGGGCGCCAGTAACCTCCCACAAAGTTCCATGTGGGGCCACCCCCAAGGAGACTACCATTTGTGGTGGCTTGATGAGTGTGCATTGGGAGGAGGCAGATCGACGTGGAGCTTTCAGGAATGCGCTCTTCACATCAAGACTTCCAAGTGGCCACTGACGCTGGGATCCAACAGCCAGCAATGTCCGAAGACTTACGGCATCAATGCCGCCAGTGCTTGTGTCTGAAGATGACACTGCTTGGCTGTAGTACAAGCAAACATCGTCGCTTTTCGCCTTCCACTCGGAGCTTTGCGAGTGCAAATCAGTTTTCCAGGTATGATTTCCACTTGTCTTCCATCAGCTGTCGATGAGGTGACCTGGTCCATGGTTGTGGCTTTGACCGTGCCACTTCCAACAAGTGATGGACCTCTTGCTTGACCACATCAACCCAAGCAGATTGTTCTGCCATGATTTCCCTGCGACCCACCACATAAGTCTGACGGACCACATCTTGTTCAAGTAGTCGAATCGCCTTCAGGTTGGATTTCTTGAAGAGCTTCATCGATGTGGTTGTTGAGGTGACTTGTGATCGCCCTGGTCTGTTGCTTAACCAAGGTAGAACCTTCAGTCAAGAGGTTTTCGGCCGTACTTGTATCAAGCTTTTTAACTTGTCCATCCTCTTTCGACGCAGCTGGTTTTGCCTCAGCTGTCTTTTCGCCTTTTCCGGGTCCTTTCCCTTCTTTTGAGTTGGACCCATCGTTACCTTTGGAGTTGGACCCATCACCTTTTTGTCCATTTCCTTTTCGGTTCGGTGTGGTTGGTGGCGAAGTAGATCCTTTTTGCTGACCCTTTCCCTCCTTTCCACCTCCATTTCCTCTAGGGCTATTTTGATGTTGATGTTGACCAGCCTGACTCCCCCCAGTCTTATCGGGAGACTGTCCATTGAGAGCTAAGCAATCGGGTTTCCGATGACCTTGTCCAGAACAATGCCTCCACCGCTCAACTCCATCTTTGGGCAATTGGCTGTGAGCATATGTGCAGTCTGAACCATGTTTGCAGCCATCCGGAGTACCCCAAAACTTACATGGTCGTTTTCCACTTCGTGGTGGTGTGCTTAGAGAACCTTGGCTGGGAGAACCTTGAAGAACTTTGAGTTGCTGACTTGGACCACCGTTGTGGCTGATGTAGTCCATCTCCGCCGTCAACAGTTCAAGGTACTGCTCCACATTGGTCACCGTTGGTCTCTCATCACGATGGGTTTCCATCCGGAAAGTTACCACCCTGAACGCAGCCTGACTATGCTTGTGGAGAACCCCTTGGACGATGGTGTCCAGTGCCTTGACTTGAAGCATCATATCTGGCAACGCACCAACCCCCACAGCTCGAAGTCTCTGCCTTTTCCACATGCGCAACGTTGATGATGCAGCCACTGAGTCCTTCGCCGCAGTGGTATTTGCAAGCTCGCGGAGAAGCTGAGTGCGCTCTTTCCACCCACCAGGGCTCTATCATTGAAGCACCTTGTACATAAATGCGGAAGTCCAAAATTCTCTTTGGGCAATGAGGTCGCTCTTGATGTCCCCCGGGATTGCGCCAAGAAGGAGAGTGGTTGCCCGCTGCTCCAGCCGCCTCACTTCTTGTGGGTGCCCAAGATGTTCCAAGTTGGGTTGTGGAGCTGTGAGCTGCGATCTTTCCAACGGTGTTGATGCCAGCCATGTCTGGTAGGTGCACATGGTCTCCTGCATAGTGTGATCCCACCACGTGGAAGCTCTTCTTGAAAGATCCGTCGATGCCGACCCGACCTCGTTGATCCAGGTCACCTGATTGAAACCCATAAACATTACCAAGATTGCTGGGCCGATCACCATGAGGATTTTCTCGGTTCCCAAAGTGGAAATAATGGCCACTTTGTTCATTCCGGACATCAAAAACTTCACCACCAGGTTTTTCTCGGTTGCTAGCCCGATCACCGCCAAGATGTCCTGGAATGCCAGCCCGATCACCACGTGGTTCTTTAAGACGTGCGCTGCCTTCATTCTTGTGAGGACTGCTTGACATTGGCCGTTGACTACCAGGATATTTCCATTTTGGATGGCCAGGTGCATCAACTTGACCGACCATATGTAGGTCTTTAGGACGATCATTGCGTCCTGGATCGCCAGGCTAATCACCGTGAGGAAAAGCAGAACGTCCAGCATGACCTCCTTGGGAGAATTCAGGAGGTCCACCAGGAATCCTTTGAGTTAGTTGGCCATGACCTGGTTTCCAATCCAACACCGGTAGACCTGCAATCCCTGGCTGTTCATGAAGTTCTTGTGGTTGTTCATGAAGTTCTTGTGGTCGGCCATGAAGTTATTGTGGTTTTTTATGGCGTTCTTTTGGTCGTCCATGAAGTTCTTGTGGTTGTTCATAGAGTTCCTGGACAACATCAATTCCCTGCTGATGCCGTCGTGCACATCCATGGAACATAGCAATCCTGTCCCAAAAAAAGGCACAAGTCATTGCTTTGCCGCAACAGCCTTGTTCTCATTGACATTGGCATAGTTCCCGTCACCTCCATGGCCGCAATCTTTTCATGGGTTTCCATCGGAGCAAGGGATGCCAAAACATTGGCCTGCGTGTTGGAGTCTTGACCTTCCAACACTTGCCGAATTTCGACCTCATACCGGTCCACCTGATACTGGTGATTTATTTGACGGTGTGCAGCTTGGAGGTGATGCTGGACAGCTTTTGAATCTTTCGGCTCATCCTCTGACCATCGGTGTTGTGGTACATCCCGGGGCCCCTTTGGCCATGCCGGACCCATGTCATCCTTTTTCGGGACGGGCTTCCACATGACTCCCCACGCGGTGTCACGAAGACGAAGACTTCATCATCCTCCGGTGGTGGCCCCATTGGGAGTCGAGTTCCACCTGGCGTATAGTTTGGAACTGCACTTGTTGACCTCTTTGGCGTCGACGGCGGTTTGTCCACTTCGACCCATGACGGGGTAGTTGACGCTGAGCTTGCCATCGTGCGGAGCCTCTGGATCTCGGCCTGAAGTCGCTCATTTTCTTTGGCGATCTTCTCCTTCTCCATGACGACCTCCTTGTACATGGTTTCCCCAAGCGCCTCTTCAAGGACTTCCTTCCTTCCCCTGTCTGGATAGAGTCCCGAATGTCCACCTCAGGTTCCATCGAGCCCATGGCGGTGTCCCTGAAGCCAGCCTTCTCTTTTCCCTGACTTTGGTCTCCTTCGTCCCCTTCTCGGCCAGCACGGTTTCAGCACTGCACTTCGTTCTGTGTCTCCCAGGCGTCCACCTAGATTTCCATCAGCCACCGGCCTTGGTGTTTCCCCACCTGCCTCTTCACCTTGTTCCCATTCATCTGCTGGGACTGGTGGCAGCTCATGGTCTGGAGAACGTTCTGGTAGCCCAGCAGGATGAAGAGCTTGTAGATTGTGTTCATCGCGTAGTCGCTCTGACCAGAATGGATTTGGCTCCATTGATCTTGTCCTTTTGGATGCCATCTTACAGCAAAGAGGCGTACGTTGGGCTCACAACCTGCAAGCGGAGCAAGCAGGGATGCGTTTTCCTTGGGGCAAAAGAGCCTGCAGCATGTCACTGCAGTAAGGCATGCCCATGCCAGTTGTGAAACCTTCTAAATGCCTTTGACGCCTTTGACCTTTCAAAATCCACATGCGAAAATCATAATATATATTTAAATGCTACACAAAAAATATCTATCTATCTATCTATCTACCTACCTGTCTAGCTAGCTATCTATCTATCTATTTATCTATCTAATCTATCTATCTATCTATCTACCTATCTATCTATCTATCTATCTATCTATCTCCCTCTCTCTCTCTCTCATCTGTCTATCTAACTATGTATCTATCTATTTATCTATCTATCGATCGATCGATCGATCTATCTACCTATCTATCTATCTATCTAGCTAGCTATCTATCTATCTATCTAGTTATCTATCTATCTGTCTACCTATCTATTTATCTACCTACCTACCTACCTATCTATCTATCTGTCTATCTATCTATCTATCTATCAATCTACCTACCTATACATCTATCTATCTATCTAATCTAATCTAATCTTATCTTATCTGTTCTGATCGTATCTTATCTTATCTTATCTTATCTATCTAATCTATCCATCTATCTATCTAATCTAACCGAATCGAATCCAATCCAATCCAATCTAATCTAATCTAATCTAGTCTAATCTAATCTAGTCTAGTCTAGCCTAGTCTAATCTAATCAAATCTAATCTATCTATCTATCTACCTATCTATCTATCTATCTATCTATCTATCTATCTATCTATCTATCTCCCTCTCTCTCTCTCATCTGTCTATCTAACTATGTATCTATCTATTTATCTATCGATCGATCGATCTATCTATCTACCTACCTATCTATCTATCTAGCTAGCTAGCTATCTATCTATCTATCTATCTATCTATCTTATCAATCTAGCAATCTACCAATCTATCAACCAATCTATCAATCAATCAATCAATCTATCTATCTATCTATCTATCTATCTACTTATCTATCTATCTATCTATCTACCTACCTATCTATCTATCTATCTATCTATCTATCTATCTATCTATCTATCTACATATCTATCTACATATCCATCCATCCATCCACCCACCCATCCACCCATCCATCCATATATATATATATACACATGATCTGCATTGATCTGTATCATATATAATATATATATATATATGAAATATTTTTTCACACACCTGCACAGGCAGACATAGATGGATTCAGTTTTAGGTACTACCTGACGAACTGGAGCCTGGCACCTGGCAGCCGAGAGTTTTGACTTCGCCGTCGCTTTTCTTGAGAAAACACTTTGCCGTGCACCCCAGGCCCGACGTACTACAGCGACGTGCTTGGTTTGAAACCTGAAGAGGCCTTTGAACATTCGCAGAATTGGTTTAACGGAAAACATGCGCGAACCCCCTATTTTAGAGGCCACTGTTTCCTGTCTTAAACTACTCCATCGAAACATCATCACTGCAATTCTTTACCTTCCGGGAGCGGAGAGCTCACGACACTGCAAACTGCCGTGGCCCCGGTGTGCCAGGCGAAGTATCATCTCATGGCCCCTTACATCATGAGCTTGATCACGACATGTTTGTCCCTTGCAAGCATTTCAGCAGAGATCAGACGCTGTCTGAATTTCCATTGGTGGCGTTGCCATTGCCATTGCCTCAGGAGCCCAATGCTGGTGAAGGCAGTGGGGAAGTCGAAGTCTCAATTCAAACAATGTATTCACATAATATGTCACTTGAAGTGTCACTCAATAAATCTCTGCGGGTTTTGGGTGGCTGGACATCTTGGAACGACCCGGTACCACTAGCAGACTTATATTTTCCTTTGAACTTGGGAGTGTTTGTCCTTGCCTGTAGTTGATTGTTGTTGCTGTCAGGTTGGGCTGGGATTTGCTGACCATGCGGCGCGTTTTCACAGCAGCTGGATTCATTTCAGCAGGTGTGGCACTGGCTCCAGTGATGGTCTCAATGCTGTGCAGTCCAGGCTTCAAAGCATTGCTCCAAGGGCTTGGGGTTGTTTCCCAGGTCCACCAATTGCGGGGCTACAATCCGCCGGGGTCTTGTTCACTTTGAACAACATGTGGTGATCAACATACAGTACACACATGTACATACATAGGTTACCTGACAGTCACACGAAAGCGTTGCCTTGAAGTGGCTTCCAGGTGGATCTCTACGATGCTCTTTAGTGCTGCCAATGTATTCTATGGTTTAACGCCCAACGGCTTCAAGGCCTGGAAAGTTGGAACGCCTGTCTCTTTTTGATTCTCTTTTTGATTCTCTAAGCCTTTTTGATCCGTTTGATCCGTTTTTGATCCGTCTCATGTTCTCCGTTCAGCTCTTTTCAGCTCTTTGAATCCATGGCTCCGTTCACGTTCCGCTGAGGCAAACTATTTAGAAATTACAGAGCAGTACATTGGAGCGTGCTGCTTAGTCCATGAAGACCTCAGCGTTGTTACGATCGGAAGATATCGGAAGTCAGGGCTTCCTTGCAAGGTAGTGAGCGGCTACGGCAATACCCTTGGAACTGTTGCTTCCTGGGCACTGGGCTCGGAAATGTAAAGACTCCCTGACAGCGCTTACGTGCCCGCACGATGATTCTACAGAACCTTCCAGGCAGGACCACAATTCGTAGCGTTCCTTCTTCAGCGCTTCGAAAGCAGCATCCTCAGCCACGATCCACAGCAGAGATGGCACGTGCCTGGTTTTGATGGTTGGAACAGTTGATAACTCAAAGCTGTTGGGGCATCTTGCGGTACCCTGAAGTGACAACCAAGGGCGCTGAGTATTCACGGAGTCACGAATGGCACAATCAAAAAAGAAACATACCTAAAAACATGGGACAGGGATACAAAGGAACTTTGGTTCGAATGCCAGCAAAAGTCAGTGACGTCCTGCAGCAATGCTTCCAAACTCTGTCCCAATTGCGCTGTTCCAAATGCTATTCCAAATGCCCCTGTGTCGAGGTTGGGACAATGTGATGCTTTCATTGGCCATCATGAATGTCATGGCTTCGGTGAACTACGCCCTTGCCTTGGTGCTAGCATTAGTGTCGCTAGTGACTGTAGCGGCTTAGTAGCGGCTAGTGTCAAGGAAAGCTAGGATTCAATTCGGTCGATTCTGCTTGGTGGTGCCGTGTCTTCCCGTCTTGAGATTCGATCGGCCAGCGTGAAGCCTGTCGAGAAGCTGGTTGAGTCAAAGAAGGTTGGGCCTGAAAGTGTTTTGCCTTGGGAATTGAGCGGCAACCCTGAAGCCAGGCAGACACAAAGAAGGTTGACTGATCCCGGCAACTGTGCATGGTGCAGTAGCGCCTGCAAAAGACTATTCCAAATGGACGCAACCAAACGACCGTTTGGATGGGACACACGTGCTGCTTTCTTGCCAGATCTCTTTTACCTGCTGACTGCTGATCACATTCAAATTACAAATCAGGTGCAACATGGCATGCGAGAGTCAGCATGAGGCCAGAGAAGCAATGTTACACCAGCTGTAGCTGTTTGGCCAAACGCAAGTGTTTGAGACATGGCTTCAGCTGACACCAACAGGGCAGTGTATCAATTGGAAAATCATATTCAGAACCGACTCCCCAACAATTATGGTGAGTCAGCCCGAGACCGCGAGGCTCTCTTAAAGCAACAAACTACAAACACAAACTACAAACACATCCTACATAGCCACTTCAAGACTCCTTATGACTCCTTTGTAAAAATCTTTCAGGATCACTCCGGTAGATTCCTTAGAACTTCAGAATTCTGTAGAGGCAGGTGCTGCGGAGCTTAATTTGATCGGTATGGAGACAGCACCCGGCCCATGGCCATGGCTGCCCCAACGGCCTCACGTTCAAGTGCACAGGGTGCACAGCCAGGCTGCCGAGTCGTTTCATTCCTGCAGTCCAGTGGTTTCGCACAGCCTCAGTGGCACAAAAATATCGAGAATCATTTTCCAAATTATATCGAGCATCATTCTCCCAGCCCCACCAATGCGGCTGCGTGTGGCGAGCAAAGAGAAACTGGGTTGCTCATTTTTGGCCACCTTGTGATCCAAAGAGGGAAAACAACCTGGGAGAGAACTCAGATTCTAAGACCAACAAAAGCTCCAAGAGAAAACGTGTTGCAACAATCAGGCTGACCAGACTTGGTTAGGATCTGCTCAGGATATCGCCTTGATTCGGCCCCATCTCTGCGTTGGCATTCTTAATTGATGCAGATTTCCAATAGATCCAATAGTATGTTTGCATCTTTCGAGGATGAGGGATCAGCAGAGCAAGGGTTGACGCAAACCGACAAAATCAGCACATGGAAAGGAGCCAAAGGGCGAGCCAAAATCAAACATGGCATCGAAAAGAATCCAACGGGAAGCGGATGTCAGTGCAAAAACTAAACGGAGGATATTTCTGCGCCTGTGCAGTGCCCAATCATTGCTGCTAGGGCCTGGAGGCTCCAAGCTTCGAGAGTTTCAAGAGGTGCCAAGAACAGAAACAGTGACAGGGAACAGGTCCATCAGGTTCAATCGCGATGGAATTCAGCTCCTGCAGGACCAGCTTGCGGCTCGGCACAAAGACTGCCGATATGTGCTGCCATTCTGTGGGTGCCTCGGATGTCAGGTCTAGGTGTTCCCAGTAGCGGGCTTGACTTGAGACTTGAGACTGTACTTTGGATTTACGAGAACCTGTGCAAGCAATGGTGGCGAAAATGCGCACATGCACAAGCAGAGCAAATCCACAAAAAGGATCCTGCTGGCACATTATGGATTGTCTGAAATTGTTCTCTGTTTCTATTAGCGCTTTACAACCTTTGGCGACAAGACAGTCATGCGCTTTGTTGGCAACACTGATGCTATGGACGGTGAATTGCTTCCTCATGTTCTGAGCAGACTCTGCCCAGGTGTTCCCTCTTGGATTCTATACATTTGCCCGCTTGAATTCCAACTCAAGGTTGGCCATTGGAAATCATTCATTTCCGACATATTCTAGGTTTTCTTTCGCAAGGGGCCCTCATGGGCCCTCAGCCTGAAAACACATGCAGGTGGCGAAAGTTAGCAAGAAATAGAATTGTGAGATCCGCGACGCGACCACCGGTGGAGGAGCGGGTGTTTCGCCTGAACCTGGCGTGGAGATCTGACCAGTGACCCATGCCAGAAAGATACAGGAATTCGGAATTACCTGATGTAATTACGTGACATTTGTCGGTGTACAGGAAAAGCTGGAAGTTGAAACTCTGCATTCCTGGCTGCGTTCCAATGTGACTCCTCTCAGCTACTTCCGACAGTGCCAGCAAAGTGCGGGTCTCACATTTGATTTGAATTGTTTGTGCACTGAGGCTAAAGTTGTGATGGCAGTGACCAACAAAGGCAATCCCATACTTCTTTAAGATTTGAAGCACCGTCGGTTTTCCTTGGACATTTTGTTCCAGAAATGCCTTCTCCTGGCTATTGTTTGCCCTTTAACCTGTTGAACGGACATTGATAGACATAGTTCTGTATTGTGGAATCGGGTGGATGATTGAAATGATCGTTTGGTTTGTATGTGTTCAGATGCTTCGATACAGACATGTTCTCTTTCAAATCGATCTGATGATGAACTGTTTCAATCATTGAGCAGCTGCTTTGGCAGCAGGACTCGAGGCGCCAGTGGCACGCGAGCTGAGACTGTTCCATGGCGTTGAGAGTGCAGTGAGCTAAGACACTCACCAAGAACCCTCCTATGGAGCATCACATTGTCAATAACATGAGTTTTGTGCCACATGACTTGTAAAATATATGCTCTCTAATAGCTGCGACTTGAGCTGCCTTGCAAGGTTGTACTGGGCAATCGCTTGTACTTCCCCTGGCGTGGGGAAGGTTCTTGCATTTTTATTCAGTGGGAACTTGAGCATTTTCAATATTTTTTCAATTATTGTCAATGGGGCTTTTGGGGAAGTCCCAAGTTTCAGCATGTTTCAGCAGTGCAGGTCGGTGCCCCGTGGTGCCTGGTGCCCAGAGCAACTGCAATGAGCCGTAACGAACCCATGAGAAAATTATGAGAAAGACATCGAGTAATCGGAGTAATCGGAGTAATCGGAATACATTGTTTACCGACATGACTCTTCGATACTCTGAGGCTGCCTAGGCAGCTCAGTTCTGTATGAGAGCTGCTAGGCACCAGGCTGTGTAATGCCATGCGGGACATGTGGAACTTCTGGCTCAAACCAAACAGTTACCGTTGATCGGGTGAAGCCACTGACCCATGAACGGCAAGCATAGTCAATACATCTTAGTTCAGTCTCAGATCGGATTCCACTCCCCAGCTTTTGTATAACACAAGCAGCTCTGATCAGCCTGAAGGTAAGTACCGCTTTGTGTACCACAAACTCTTTGCCAAAGTGTTTCATATTGGGTTAGCCGTCATGGCCGAAAGCCAGTGGGAGCTGGGATGGAGCAAGGAGATGAAGAGATATTATTTCATGGACAAGGTGCTTTCTTTGAGCTTTCCGGTGTGTTTTGTTCCTTGCATTTTCCACAAGGGATGAAACAACGAAAAACATGATGAATTGTTCTGCTTAGCTTTGTCCACCCACCAATGTTTGATTGGCCTTGGCTCGTCGGCTTGCGCAGGTTTTGGGAAAATCCAGCTGGAGCCGGCCGCACGGCTGTGAACTCGATATCCCGCAGCAACCTCCAGAGGAGCTCATCGCCCAGCATCGCCCAGCACTGCAGCACCCATGTCCAGCCCTGTTGGGCCATGTCCAGGAGAAGTCTCGGCCCAAGAGTCCTCCAGTCCCTAAAGACTTGCCAAAGGGTTGGAAAGCAGCACTGGATAGACGACCAGAGGCACATCTGATCACATCTGAAACATTTTCAGAAATGCAATCTGAAAGAACCGAGAGATATCGAGAGTATGTTGGCGAGGTGCCCATGGAGCTTGTTTTGGTATGTGCCAGTGTGCACAGGTGAACCGCTACTACTACTACCGTGCTGAAAAGCCTGAAGTACGGACTTGGTACAAGCCCCTTCCAGATCAAGAAGAAGAAGAGGAGGTTTGGGCCAATCAGCCTGAACAGACTTAGTGTTTTGCCTTTTGTTTTGTGTGTTTTCCGTTTTTGCCTTCAATATCTTCAATGTTCCTCACGTCCTGCCTGACATGCTGCCAGGAGGAGGAGAACGTGGCCATGGAGGAGATACTCCAGGCACGTGTTACCCCGAGACCATTTCGTCCGCAACAGCGCTTTAAGGTGGCCACGTCCTCGTGCACCGATTCCCAGGACGAAAGCGCAAAGGCTAAGCCCGGCGCGAAGAATTTCAACCATGGAATCCAGCTGCTGAGGTCCGAGCAATCAGAACCGCAGCTGCACATAGATTCACAAACGATTCAAAAAGCTGCTTGTATTGCTAGAAACTTTGACTTCTACCTCCTGCCCACCGTTTCTGTCCAATTGTCTCAAATTTGGTACAGTGAGCATTTTTCGGAGGAGTCCTTGCAAGTATTGTAGATGAATGATGACGGCCTTTGATGATTTTTTTTCGGAACTAAATGCAGCTTATACATACTAATTAATGCATAGTGACAGAATATTACATAGCACGTTGGGGACCACTTTTCTTTTGGGGAAGAAGTACTTTCTACCTCAAAGTTCATGGTCATTCTGTTGATTCGTGATAATGGATTCTCGCCTTCAGCTTCTGTTAAATTCTCTGAGATGGCGATGGGGGAGAGAGAGAGAGAGATGTTGGGTTCAATTAGTAATCCATCCTAATCCTGCATTGGTGATGGCTGATATGCAGCGCAAGGATAGCACCACCGCAGTGGAATCATTGCATTTCTTCCCTTCTTTTCAGTGTATCTTTAGGTTTACTCCAAATTGGCGACACATGGATGGTTGACAAGGATATCCAGGATGGCACATGAGGAGTGCTCAGGATACTTTCAAAAAGAAGCTGATGGAAGGGCTCCTTCAGGAGTGAAGGGGAGGCTGGCGAGTCTTGTTTATGATCCTCCTCACTGTTATTTTGGACATGTGCCCGGCGAAAGGGAGGAGGCCTAATTTTGTTTCAACACATTCGCTCCTCATGGTGCCCTGCTCAGTTGCCGAAGGACGTCTTTGTGGCAAACAATTACCTGACGGAAAGTAGTCCAAATATCACCGTATGCCTTTCAACTCAAGCGGCTGGGCTAGCATTTTTTGGGGGGAGTTGCATTGCACCAAACTGAGCCCATCCATTGGCTTACCTTGAATTGCCCAAGGTGAAGATTTCTGACTCTTGGCGAGATTTGTCAATATGTGACGCATTCGTTGCTGCTGCATAGACTCTGTCGAAAATGCTTTGTAGACTCTCGAAATTTCATCGCATATTGCCCACACCTTATCTCACTTGACTCGAGCCCAGGAAGTGACCAGCAAAGGGTTTCGTGCCAACCCTTCTCCATTGAAGCCTTTCGACCAAATGCCAGAGGCTATGGGTGGAGTCCTCGGGGGTGAGAAGTGTATCGCGAAGATTTGAGAAGTGAAGTAAGAGTTTGGAATTTATTTACGTGTATATAATCGTATAAGGTTTCTATATACATATATATGTGTATATATATATATAAGACAATAACATCAATATTATATATGTCATATATCATATATGTTACATATGTTATATATGTACATGTTTTAATCAATAACTGCATATAGAAATAGGGCAAAATATGCTTGGAATGTTTGCATGCCTATTGTCGTTTGACCATCAGCAATTTTGCTGTTGGCATTGCTTCCAGGTGACTTTCGCCGAGACGACACTGGCATCAGCCGCCCTTGAGTTCTGGCAACAGGAGGGGATATTCTGGGACTCTCGGGGACAAAATGCGAACAACAAAAGCATAGGACAAGTCCAATCAACGAAGCATTTCTAGCTGCTACCTGGTTACCTGCACCATCTTGCGCCCTCTCTAGGACCGCAAGCGGCAGATCTGTATCGTGAGTTGTGGAAGTGGCCAAATGCCGCCAACGCTCAGTTTCAATCAAGATGCAACCTCAGTACAATACAGAATGCCATCCAAGTCGCACAAAGAAAATTCTCAAAGCTGATTTTCCATGATTTTCCTTCCTCTTGTATCGGCTGGCCATGGCTGGCCTCATCTCAGCAAATCAAGTTCCATGGAACTGCTCACAAAACGATGGGAGTTGCCTTTCAGATGCTTCCTGTGCTGCTTGCCCCGTGCTACTTGTGACACATTGTGCTTCCCACTGAGGAGACAGAGCTCTACTGCCAAGCTCCTCCTCTTCTACAATCTCTGATGGCAACAACTCGTTCTCCAGTATGCCCCTTCGGACCAGCGGCCCACACCCACTCAAATGACCTCTCTGAGATGAGCTCCTTGTCAGAACACATCAAAACATCATCTAAGGAGCCATTTCGTGTACTTAGTGTTCATTTCCTGCATTTTCCTGCTATCTTCAAACCTCTTTCATGGATCAGACAAGAGCTAGATCCAAGTCAATGTGGTCGTGAGGCACAGTGGTTTACACACCCGATTGCTCCATCAATCGGTACAGTATTTCCGAGGCCAGGCTAGGACATGGAAAAACTAATGGAAAAAACAACTAGCTTCCAGAAGAGAGCTAGCAGCTGCGCTAGCCTGAAAGTGCTTCAAGCATGTAGCAATCTTTCCTTTGTCGCAACAACTTAGTGAAAGGATGGGCACAAAGTGGCGACCCAAGTGGCCAGTTCAGAATTGCTTGCTTCCCTGTCAGGGCTTTAACTTGTTGCCTGAGGGAATGGAGTTTACTGTTCCTGCATCTCGGTGAAATCGGCAAAACATGGATGGGAAGGGCAGTAACAGTTGGCACAGTTGGTGTTTGTCTGGATTTGCTTTCAGCATCTTTCAGTCCATTTGCAGCCCTGCATCCACCAGATTCTCCTCATCCTCAACCTTCAACCTTTCAGGTCATGTTAGTAGCAAAGGCTAGTCGACTCGCTGGGTTGGGAAGAACGAGCAAACCCCTTTTATTGGAGGAACATACCCCTAAATACTCAACAGCAGAGTTTTAGCATGAGTCTGCATCCAGGTTCTTAGCTCTGCAGCCCCGCTGAAAGTTCCTCCACACGGGCTGTCTGGAGATGAGATAAACAAGCTGCTTGATGGCTGTTTTGGGCCGTTTTGGGCAAGGGAGGAGAAGGGCACTAGTAATATCTGGCCTGGGAACTGGGAAGTGGGATACTTTCCGAGCCTGGAACTTGCGCTGCACACCTGATTTTTCATCAACCAAGTGGTTTTCTATGAAACTTTCAGGTCTCTCTCAGATACCTTGACCTCCGTGTTCGTGGCGCCTGTGATCCAGAATCCCAGATGCACAACTCTCATTCTTGGAGCCGCCTGACAAAAATAAACAAAATTTGGCTCGAATTCAAGGTGTTGAAGGTGTTGGGAACATGGACCTGGATGAGGTCCTCAGTTTCGATGCGCAAGAAGGTGTTTGATGCCGAGGCCTGGGGATGCGAAGACCGGTTCGACACTGATGCGGAAAAGCTCGCCACCAAATTTGCGGAGCATCTTGGAGTTTCAGTGCAAGGCTTTCACATGTGAATCTGGTTTCCCCTGACATGCTTTGCAACATTCCAAGCACGGCCTGCGAGCCAAGGCTGCTTTCAGGAAGGAGAACAGTGGAAGGCGTTCTTATTGGATGGCTTTACAGGGAGGTGCACTTCTGCTTTCCAAAGTATGACGCTGGCTTGGGGTGCAGCCTGGCAAAAGCGAAATGTCGACTGTGATTTGTATTTGTATGATCCTTTGGTGTTCTAGTTGAGCACGTGAATTCGCACTTGCTGACACTTCAGCCCAGCTGAGGTGTCAAAGAACAACACCAGGATACACCAATTGAAGTTTTCAAGCGGGTTTTCGAGCAGCACCGTGTGAACCTAAAGCTTGTTTAGAAGCCAAGGTGCATCGGGAAACCAGGTGTCACCATGGAGAAAGTTTGCACAAGCTAGTGTATTTTAAGCGATCAAGCAGGGCTGTATAGGCGAGGCATCCAAACGTGAGGCAACGCCTGCAACATACCTCGGTCAGCCGACTGCTTTGGTGCAAGATGCACCAAGCAGATGAGTTTAGGACGGTCTCAGACTAGGACCAGGTGAAGCGCTGAAAGGGCGGTGCTTCTTCGCCAAATTTGGTGGTTGCAATCTGCGCATAGGCTGCACATAGGAAGCTTTGTGTGCAGACCTCAGCTCCAAGGCATGGTGCCAGCCGATTGTATGCTGTATTTGCCGTGATTGCCGGGTGAGATCCTGAGTTTTTGTATCGACGGTTTGGAACGGCCTCTTTGTCCACCCACCAAGCCGTATTCATGTGTGACGTTTGCTTCTGTGCTGCTTTGTCAGCGGCAAATGCGCCAGTGCAGCGGCGTCCCTCCCTTCTTCTGTCCCCCTGGACTGCTGTCTCATAGCTCTCACATTCTACAATTCCGAAAAAAGTCTAGCCTGGAATGTGCAGCCTGCATGTCTCAACGAAAGGTATATGTGCATATTTATATATATATATATATATACACATATATAATATGCATGTCATTGTGTGTGTTTCCTAAATATTGTAACAGGCAGTAAAAGGGTTCCTTACTAAACACCCACCAAAAAGGAGCACCATAAAATCAAGTTATTTTTCTTCAAGGATTGTTGGGCCTGGGGACATGTTCATTTTTTTTTGTTCAAGGATTATTTCAATTTCAGAATTTGACCATGGTTCAAAAATTGGGAAACAAAGCCCGTCCATTCTGCTCAACGTAGACATGCGGTGGTTTGCACACATCAGATTAGGAGAAAGAGGACATGGGAATCACTTCTCAAAACCATTTGGGATTGGGACTCAACCATATCAAGTATCAAACATGAATCATACACTATCCAACTTTCCATCAAACTTCATCTACTGACTGGTTTGCCAGGTTTGCTGCTATGCTGGAGCTAGAATTATATTGCTGTTTTTTTTCTCGGTTTGTCGTGCACCAAATCTTGCTTTGCTCCAATGCGTTTTTTTTTTTCGCGGTTTGTCGCGTACCAAATCGTGCTCCAGTGCATGCTTTTTCTTTTCCTCCGGCTTGTCGTGCACGAAATCGTGCCCCAGCGCACCAAATCATGCCACCGCGTGCTTTTTTTCACGGCTTGTCGTGCATCAGACTGCATCAGATCGTGCTCCAATGCACCAAATCGTGCTTCAATGCGTGCTTTTTTTTTTTTCGCGGTTTTGTCGTGCACCAAATCGTGCTGTATGGTCTCAATAATGTTGAAAGTCCACCATGCTCTTGTTATTATTTTATTCATGCTCTAAACATGGAAAAAAAGTGCGGTAAAACCAAAAACTGGCGGTTTTGTATTGTTTTCCTCTTCGGAGCTTGGGCCAGGATCTGGCCGGAGCCAGGCCAGCCTCCAAAACCTAGAAGAATATTGAATGCTGAATACTAATTATCTTGAGTATTTGAATACTGTATATAATTCTAGATCCAATCACAAAGCATATCATATTGGCACATAGGAGATTGATATGCCAGGATTTTTCTATTTTCGGCGTGCTCCAAATGGTGGTGCCCCATTTCGTGCCACTCTTACAATATTTAGGCCATACACAATATAATATAAATATAAATATAAATAAGTAAATAGATAAATAAATAAATAAATATATATATATATGTGTGTGTATGTAATGTAATGGAATGCAATGCAATGCAAAGCAATGTAATGTAATGCAATGCAATGTAATGTATGCATGTGTATATATATATATATATGTATTAATTTTTTTATTATATATATATATAATATAATTATATGTACACACGGCACACAGATCTGTACAGTAAGACTTGGATAAGTTTGGCCTATCAGAGTCTACCAGCCTCCCTGCCGCATGACATGACTGGGCTTCCGGTCAACCAACAGACCCGACTCAACATTTTGCAGGGAGGATCTTGCCAAGTTGAGACGATCAGAAGATCTTCATGCAGCGTTTGTTGGCTCCTCAAACCATTGAATCACCTACGCTACGAACTTTTCTTGGGAAAGCTGGTGTAAATTGCAGACAGATTTCTTGTCATGCTCTACATGATTCCCAGCAAGAAGTCGCAGGAACACTTTGTGGAGGATGCTGCACGTCTGCGACTACGACAGGTGTCAGGGTCCTGACCATACACCTTAACGGAGACACCTGTCGCAGGAGACATTGCTTTAACATGCGTTATAGGTACCCAGCCAGCCCATCCAGATCATTCATCATCATTCCAAATCCAAAGGCTTCCACCCTACATGGTGCTTTGTGCAGAGAACGAGGAAGATCCTGGCTCTGAGCCCTGGTGCTTCGAGACGAGGGAAACTCAAGGAAAATCATTGGAGACGGACTCACCAGCCAATATGAAGAGACATGAAGACACGGAATGTATTCTTTGGGATTTGATTGAAGATGATTGAAGATGATTGAAGATGATTGAAGTCATTCCGAGGTGCAAATCCACCTGGCCGAAAGATTCGCTTTGCAGCCAAGTGCCGTCAGCCCGTCAGCGGGGGAATCGCTACATCTCATCGCCTGGAAGCTGCATCACAGCGACGTGAGGTGTTGGTCAAGGAGGTGCTGAAAAGCTGGCCTTGGGCCCCAAGGCAGTCAGGAGCTCATTGCTCGAATGGCTCGAATTGCTCGAACAGACACGTTTCGACCTGCTAGGATGCAGAACCTACATGGATCTACATGGACCAATTATAAATAAATAATTATTTAAGGGCTGCCGCCCCTGCCGCCGACCCCGGTAAAGAATCGGGGATTGCTGGTGAAACAGGCAAGCTGTGTGACGCGAAACTTTGGCAAATGCATTATCACATGCAGGATCATGCGTAACTGGTGCAGCTTTCGGATCAATTGCAGTAAGGTGCTGGCTGCATGACGAGACAGTTGAATTAGAAGCTTACTCTGAACCCAACAACACATCTATGTGCATATGGGCCAAGAGACATAAGACCAAATTGCCAAAAGCTATCATGACAAGAAAGCTCCAGCTTAGGTGGTGGTATAAGATAGCTACACAACTTTTTTTTGGATTGAAGCTATTCTAGTTGGACTGCAGCAACGAGAGCTGAGAGCTACGAAATATGGCCCGTTCGAAATGATGGGACACGCCCAAAAGATTATAGAAAAAGCAGAGAAGAAAGTCTAACATTTTAGCTTTTTTCCTGTGTAACATATGGTGTAATTCACCCGGCGCAAACCATGCCGGCGCAGCTGCGGAGTGCAAGCGCAGTGCTGGAATGTTGGCTGGCCGGCAATCGTGTCAACACGTCCGTGTGCAATGTGCTGCAGGTGGTGTGGGGCAAAGAGATGGGGAAGGAAAGAGTATTCAGGGGAAACACAGTGGCCCTGAAGGACGGAACAGCGCCAAAATCGAGCCCAAAAAGTCCCTAACGTCCCTTCTGAAACCCTAGAAAAACAATAGTAGTTTTGGACAAGGTTTTATGGTTTTCGACAAATTTTTATACCACTGTTTGTACAATGAGACATACAACCCTCCTGTTTTGGACAAGGTTGTATGGTTTTCGACCAATTTTTTTTTATTTTTTTAAAATACCACTGTTTGTACAATGAGACATACAACCCTCCCGTTGCTCCTGTTGCTGCTGCTGCTCTTCCTCCCGAGGCTGAAAACGCACCCTCCCGGACAGGGAAACACAGTGGCCCTGAAGGACGGAACAGCGCCAAAATCGAGCCCAAAAAGTCCCTAACGTCCCTTCTGAAACCCTAGAAAAACAATAGTTTTGGACAAGGTTTTATGGTTTTCGACCAATTTTTATACCACTGTTTCTACAATGAGACATAGAACCCTCCTGTTGCTCCTGTTGCTGCTGCTGCTGCTCTTCCTCCCGAGACTGAAAAAACGCACCCTCCCAGACAGGGAAACACAGTGGCCCTGAAGGACGGAACAGCGCCAAAATCGAGCCCAAAAACTCCCTAACGTCCCTTCTGAAACCCTAGAAAAACAATAGTTTTGAACAAGGTTTTATGGTTTTCGACCAATTTTTATACCACTGTTTGTACAATGAGACATACAACCCTCCTGTTGCTGCTCCTGCTCCTGTGACTCCTTCTGTTCAAAAGGCACCTGCCGGATGGGAAAACACCATGGCAGTAGTAGTAGTAGTAGTAGTAGTAGTAGTAGTAGCCCCTTCTGACCCCTAGAAAAACAATAGTTTTGGACAAGGTTTTATGGTTTTCGACCAATTTTTATATCACTGTTTGTACAATGAGACATACAACCCTCCTGTTGCTCCTGTTGCTGCTGCTGCTCTGCCTCCCGAGGCTGAAAACGCATCCTCCCGGACAGGGAAACACAGTGGCCCTGAAGGACGGAACAGCGCCAAAATCGAGCCCAAAAAGTCCCTAACGTCCCTTCTGAAACCCTAGAAAAACAATAGTTTTCGACCAATTTTTATACCACTGTTTGTACAATGAAACATACAACCCTCCTGTTGCTCCTGTTGCTGCTGCTGCTCTTCCTCCCGAGGCTGAAAACGCACCCTCCCGGACAGGGAAATGCAGTGGCCCCGAAGGACGGAACAGCGCCAAAATCGAGCCCAAAAAGTCCCTAACGTCCCTTCTGAAACCCTAGAAAAACAATAGTTTTGAACAAGGTTTTATGGTTTTCGACAAATTTTTATACCATTGTTTGTACAATGAGACATAGAACCCTCCTGTTGCTCCTGTTGCTGCTGCTGCTCTTCCTCCCGAGGCTGAAAACGCACCCTCCCGGACAGGGAAACACAGTGGCTCTGAAGGACGGAACAGCGCCAAAATCGAGCCCAAAAAGTCCCTAACGTCCCTTCTGAAACCCTAGAAAAACAATAGTTTTGGACAAGGTTTTATGGTCTTCGACCAATTTTTATTATACCACTGTTTCGACCAATTTTTATACCACTGTTTGTACAATGAGACATAGAACCCTCCTGTTGCTCCTGTTGCTGCCGCTGCTCTTCCTCCCGAGGCTGAAAACGCACCCTCCCGGACAGGGAAACACAGTGGCCCTGGGGACGGAACAGCGCCAAAATCGAGCCCAAAAAGTCCCTAACGTCCCTTCTGAAACCTTAGAAAAACAATAGTTTTGGACAAGGTTTTATGGTTTTCGACCAATTTTTATACCAGTGTTTCTACAATGAGACATAGAACCCTCCTGTTGCTCCTGTTGCTGCTGCTGCTCTTCCTCCCGAGGCTGAAAAAACGCACCCTCCCGGACAGGGAAACACAGTGGCCCTGAAGGACGGAACAGCGCCAAAATCGAGCCCAAAAAGTCCCTAACGTCCCTTCTGAAACCCTAGAAAAACAATAGTTTTGAACAAGGTTTTATGGTTTTCGACCAATTTTTATACCACTGTTTGTACAATGAGACATACAACTCTCCTGTTGCTCCTGTTGCTGCTGCTGCTCTTCCTCCCGAGGCTGAAAACGCATCCTCCCGGACAGGGAAACACAGTGGCCCTGAAGGACGGAACAGCGCCAAAATCGAGCCCAAAAAGTCCCTAACGTCCCTTCTGAAACTCTAGAAAAACAATAAAACAATAGTTTTGGACAAGGTTTTAGGGTTTTCGACCAATTTTTATACCACTGTTTGTACAATGAGACATACAACCCTCCTGTTGCTCCTGTTGCTGCTGCTGCTCTTCCTCCCGAGGCTGAAAATGCACCCTCCCGGACAGGGAAACACAGTGGCCCTGAAGGACGGAACAGCGCCAAAATCGAGCCCAAAAAGTCCCTAACGTCCCTTCTGAAACCCTAGAAAAGCAATAGTTTTGGACAAGGTTGTATGGTTTTCGACAATTTTTATACCACTGTTTGTACAATGAGACATACAACCCTCCTGTTGCTCCTGTTGCTGCTGCTGCTCTTCCTCCCGAGGCTGAAAACGCATCCTCCCGGACAGGGAAAACAGTGGCCCTGAAGGACGGAACGCGCCAAATCGAGCCCAAAAAGTCCCTAACGTCCCTCTCTGAAACCCTATAAAACAATAGGTTTGACCAGTGGCATGGTTTTCACAATTTTTTTTAAATTTTTTTATACCACTGTTTGTACAATGAACATTACACCCTCCTTCCTCCCTAGGCGAAAACCAACGCACCTTCCCGGACAGGAAACACAGTGGTCCCTGAAGGACGGAACACGCCAAAATCGAGCCCAAAAGTCCCTAACGTCCCTTCTGAAACCCAGAAAACAATAGTTTTGGTACAGGTTTAATGGTTTTCGACCAAATGGTTATACCACTGGTTTTACAAGTTGGACATCAACCTCATGTTTCCCTGTTGCTTGCTGCTGCTTTTTTGGCCCCTTCTTCCTCCTCCCGAGGCTGAAAACGCACCCTCCCGGACAGGGAAACACAGTGGCCCTGAAGGACGGAACAGCGCCAAAATCGAGCCCAAAAAGTCCCTAACGTCCCTTCTGAAACCTTAGAAAAACAATAGTTTTGGACTTTGGACAAGGTTGTATGGTTTTCGACCCATTTTTTTTTATTTTTTTTAAATACCACTGTTTGTACAATGAGACATACAACCCTCCTGTTGCTCCTGTTGCTGCTGCTGCTCTTCCTCCCGAGGCTGAAAATGCACCCTCCCGGACAGGGAAACACAGTGGCCCTGAAGGACGGAACAGCGCCAAAATCGAGCCCAAAAAGTCCCCAACGTCCCTTCTGAAACCCTAGAAAAACAATAGTAGTTTTGGACAAGGTTTTATGGTTTTCGACAAATTTTTATACCACTGTTTGTACAATGAGACATACAACCCTCCTGTTTTGGACAAGGTTGTATGGTTTTCGACCATTTTTTTTTTTATTTTTTTAAAATACCACTGTTTGTACAATGAGACATACAACCCTCCTGTTGCTCCTGTTGCTGCTGCTGCTCTTCCTCCCGAGGCTGAAAACGCACCCTCCCGGACAGGGAAACACAGTGCCCCTGAAGGACGGAACAGCGCCAAAATCGAGCCCAAAAAGTCCCTAACGTCCCTTCTGAAACCCTAGAAAAACAATAGTTTTGAACAAGGTTTTATGGTTTTCGACCAGTTGAATTTTTTTTTTTAATTTTTTGTTTAATCCCACTGTTTGTACAAATGAGAAACTATCCACCCTTCCTGTTGCTTCTGTGCTGCTGCTGCTCTTCCTCCCGAGGCTGAAAGCGCACCCTCCCGGACGGGGAAACACAGTGGCCCTGAAGGACGGAACAGCGCCAAAATCGAGCCCAAAAAGTGCCTAACGTCCCTTCTGAAACCTAGAAAAACAATAGTTTTGGACAAGGTTTTATAGTTTTCGACCAATTTTTATACCACTGTTTGTACAATGAGACATAGAACCCTCCTGTTGCTCCTGTTGCTGCTGCTGCTCTTCCTCCGGAGGCTCAAAACGCACCCTGCCGGACAAGGAAACACACTGGCCCTGAGGGACGGAGCAGTGCCAAAATCGAGCCCAAAAAGTGCCTAACGTCCGTTCTGAAACTCTAGAAAAACAATAGTTTTCAACCAATTTTTGTACCATTGTGTGTACAATTAGACATAGAACCCTCCTGCTGCTCCTGTTGCTCTTCCTCCCGAGGCTGAAAACGCACCCTCCCGGACGGGGAAACACAGCTGCTACTGCTGCTACTGCTGCTACTGCTGCTCCTGCTGCTGGTGCTGCTGGAGCAGGTGCTGCAAGCCTCCAAAACACACCCTTCGCCACACCGAAACACCATGCTACTGAAGGATG